GTAAGCGTTTTAAAAGTTTCACTACTTCCAGTGCTGTTGTTGTGAAGGCTGTCTGATTGTATAAAGTGTGTGACGTTATTAATATGACGGGATATTAATGTTTTGTTTTGTATTTTGGGAGCGCAGTGTTGCCATGGTTTTGAACTTATTCGTGGGAACTGACAGTATTAACACGAGACATATGGCACATTTGAGATGTACGAGTTATTTTGTTTTTGTTTTAAAGTAGTGCTTGTTTTGGTGGATATTTGAAATTTACATTTCAGTACATTTATTTAGCTACAATTACCTTGTTCACCAGAAGCAGGACGCACGGGTCGTTTGGTAAAAGCGTGCGGCACATGTCAACGCTTTTCAACAAACTCGCGCTTCATTTTTCAAACCCAGCAGCAATGATAATTGTGTATAATAAATCCGCTTTATTGTAGTTTTCTCATTTGTAAAAGTGCTTTCGTCTGCTCCAACCCAAGTGTAACCGTGGCTTCCTGTTTAATACTGTTGTGGAAACGTCACTGTTCTCTGAAAAAGACGATATGAGTTCAGATAAACAGCGATCCGATCCCAGTCGAGATAAGGATTAAAATTGGATCTTTTATTTGTTTTCTGTCTGTGGCTGCACCGAGGCTGCTGTTGCATTTTCCTCCGGCTTTTCAGTTCTCTTTCCAGAGATGAGACGTCAGATAGCGCGCCCAGCTGATCCTTCCACATGATAGTGGATTACAATTGGATCTTTTTTTCTTCCATCCATTCATTTTAACCCTGTGATGCTCAGTAACCCATTAGCTGTACCTTAAATTAAATTGCACGATTGTATTCATGTAAGATTCATTATTTGAACTCCCACTTGTGGCTTTGGAATATTAAAGATGAAATTTTGAAGAACATTTGTTTTGCTCTTTTCCACTTTGTGGCATGATGTTCAGCTCAGTCACAATAATTAATCATGCAAGAAAATTATATGTGACTATTTCATAATTCATATGCACCACAGGAAACTAATATTGTACATAAATATACATATGTTTTTAATTGATATAATTCACCTATGAAAAATTACTTATTTATGACTTAAACTAATTCATTCTTGAGTTGAACCTACTCATTGGATATGCTTACACCTGCTGTTAAAATGCATTTTATTTATTGAAGCACAAGTTAATGACACTAAATACCATAGTGAGCAGGGGCTAAAAATGTTTTGAGCTCATCAACTTACAGATGAATTCAGATTGTAGTGTTGAATGCATTCAAACTGCCTCAAAAGAGCCCACTTGCTCCTTTCTACATTATTGTTGTTGAACATAAACAAGGTATCAATACCTGGCTGTATTTATCCAAAACACATAGATTGCAATGGAATCATAGTTGCCATTTAAAAAACCTTTTTTTAAAAACCTTTTTTTTAAACCTTTTTTTTACTCATAATGAGGACCACACGGAATCTGCGTGCACAGAAATCTGCAGATTTCCTCAGATTTTGAGCCCATCGTATTCATTCATTCATTTTCTTTTCGGCTTAGTCCCTTTATTAATCCTGGGTCGCCACAGCGGAATGAACCCCCAACTTATCCAGCACGTCTTATGCAGTGGATGCCCTTCCAGCCGCAACCCATCTCTGGGAAAATCATATTTATTTACTTGTGTAAATGTGTGCAAATTTAATTCTGTTTTTTAAAATAATTTTCTTGATATTATTGACTGATATGAAAATGTTCATATGATTTATTTAGAAGACAGTTTGTAGAGTAATATTTTTGTCTTGTTGTAGATTTATATGAGAGACTTGCTTTGTTTACCAAATAAGTGGTTCTAATTGTATTTGCATTGTAAACACGTTGAAATGTCTTTTGTTTTATTTCATATATTAAGTTTTTAGTTATGCTTCTTCTGCATAAATCCGCAGATTTATTTATAATTTTTTTTTACAAAATTCTCAGTAGAAACAGCAAAAAATGTCTGCAGATTCAGTCTGGCCCTACTCATAAACCACATGTAATGGTTTTGTTCATTCACCAGTAGCCCACTTGTGCTTCACACTGAACGCTTCCTCAAAAGTGATGTAGAACATGACGAAATAAGAAGGAAAGGACTTGATGAAACCCTAGTCTCCACTTATGATTGAATTTAAATGCATGTTAATAAAGGAAAAAAACAGGACTAATGATCTGATCGCATCTCTTACCAGCACACTGAAGGTGAATAACAGCTCTGTTTCTTTCTCTAAAACAATCACATTGCTTTTGAAGGCTAAAAATATTGTCTTATCAACCGCTTTTATTAAACATTTAAGATGATTGTAGCATCAGTTCTGTGTCTTGACATCTTTAGTTGCCATTCATTGCCTTTCTTTTTCCTTTGGTGAAAGGAAGGTATGCAGGTTTAGGACAACAAGAGGGTGAGAAAAGCTCATTCATGGTTAAAGTAACCCTTAACATTTTGTGGTCGATAAATTTATTAAGTAAAAATCAAATTCATTGACCCCTGCCTCTCCCTCTCTTTCTGTGAAAAGAACCAACAGTGCTGAAAAGTCGTTTTGCTCTGGTGCCAGGCGCTGTTTCAGTTCTTCATCCAGAAGAGATGCTTTCAGGCGATAAGCACAGTAGCAATATCTTGGAGGTTGAGTTTGAAAGGGCTGCTCAAAAAAAATAAATATTAATGCGATTCAAAGGCAGAAAGCGACTCTTGAATAGGAAAGAAAAATGGTCTGATAAGGGAGCATTAGCATATACCACTGAGTGTAAACGGACGGTATCAAGGTTTGTTTAAGTGACTGGAGAGTTATACGAGCACATTGGCCAGTAATGCCAATGCCCCCACTGACCCATGAAGTCGTTTTCCTAATTGAGATGCTCTAGCTGATCTAAAACTATCTCTGGATGGTGTTAGCAGAATTCATTTTCTTACCTTGGAGGAATCCGCCAATGGTAGAACCAGCGTTACCATTTCAAGCCAGTCGTAGCTGATGTTTTGAACTATTCAGTATAAACATTCCTTATCTTTCCTGAAACGTTGAAGATTTCATATCTGGAGGCTTTTGAAGTCCCTTTATACTGACATCCCATTAGACTAACTAAGTTTTCAGATTCACCGCTAGATTGATGAATCCCCCCCCCCCATTCACGAAACGTGCATGAACGTCATATCGCCCCTCTTATCATGGCTTTTTGCATATGTAAACCTACAGACAACAGCGTCTAATAAGTGTGCGATTGCATTGTTTTGTTACACTCTTACTGGAAGCATTACAGTCCTCTCCAAAAGAGGTATCCGGTATCATGGAAGTCTATGTTGAGAGGAAATATTTTTCTGTGTCTTTTGTGCGTCACTCTCCCAATGGTGAAGATCGCGCTGATAGATTATCCATCCCTCCCTGATGGCGAGATTAGCTCACGGCCTAGCGGGGCCACATCCCAGGGCTTATATTTTGGCAGTTGAGATGGGAGACAAGATAAGTTGAGGCGGCGATCTCTGTGGAGATAAAGCCAACGTCGAGGGGGGTTGGTGGAGATTGGGATTATAATTACATTTGGCTGAAGCATTCTCATCTTTGTCATGTTTGTGCTGTTGTTGTTTGGGACTGGCTGGGTGTATCTCTAGATAAGTTAAAAAAAGAGAGAGAAAAAAAGCAGATAAGGGAGAGTAGGATGGCAGGGTTGATAAGGGCTGGGGGAGAGAGGCAGGAATACAGAAATGGTAGATGGATGTATGCTGCGTTTTTAAAAGCAGCTGCCTCTGTGAGATCCCGCTGGCTGATAAGAGAGCCGTTGAGATGATTGGGAGATAACAGAGTGAAGATTCTGCCAGATAACAGCAGAGTGACATCATTCGAACGGCTCAGAGGTCGGCGTGAATTATTCATGAGGTCCCAGAATTTGGCGTCAGCGGCGGGAGGATGTTTGAGAAGCAGAGGCCAGACAATGCACTTGTTTGAGTTACCACCTCCTGTACCTTGGGCTTGCACTTTTGAAAGTGTGGACAACCGATGGGATCTCTTCCTGTTTTTGTTGAAACCGTTCTCAGAGCTTTCGCCGCTGTCAGGTTCAGCGTCTTGGGGTCATTTGACCTGAGGGCTAGTTTAATACCCGGCCAAAAAATTTGAAAAGAATGAGAGATCACAGGCTTTCGCACACATATTTTCACACACACACATACACTTGGTTGCGTCTTGGTGGTTTTGCTTGTGTGTTTTCCTTCTTTGTTCTGCTTTTAGCTCGATGTGAACTTTTGATAAAGCCTGGGGCCTGATCTCCGGTATAGATAGAGATTGCCAAGTGAGATAAGAGTTGTTATCAGCGCCGAGCAGGCAGGAGCTGAGGCTTTGCTGCAATAACAAAGCTACACGTAAGAACAGCAGGGCTCTGGACCCTGGCAATCAGTTCCAGCCATAATGTGATTAATGTTGTTGTATAATTAGATGATAGGTGTGAATGCATTTTCCTCCCCCCTTATTCCTCCCCCTCTTTTTGGTTCCCACCCCTGTGTTTTTCTCCTAACAACCATTGTAGTTGATTAATTTAATTAAAACTAATTCCGCATATTACTCACTGTAGATCTTGTGCTAGATAGCATTGAGATGCAGGGTTTTTTTTTGTTCAATGATCTTAATCTGTGGAGTGCGTTTAAGTGAAAAACAGCGAGAAAAAAAAGAATTCAGCTCTGCGCCTTGCGAAAGGAAACAAGAATGTGGCGTCAGCAGTATGGCTGAAATGTAGATCTGAAGTCAGATATTAGATACTGACTGATAGTGGGTGCAATGAACACTGTGAGAAAGTTATAAAGTTTTTTTATAATGTGTTGCATAGCCAAGGACGGCTTTTGTGAATTTGATAAAATGCGATAATCAATGAGTTCGGGTATCTGATAACCTTTAAAGAGGAGCTGTTAATGTCTTCAAAGTCCAGCTGTAATGATTATTATTATTATTAATATTTAATAATGGGTCTTGTTTCTAACTGTGTCATGGTAGAATGAAGACAAATATGTGTCTATAGTTAAAAATG